TTTCTTTTTCATGTCAAGAGCAAAAACTTTGCCAAATGGCCAAACGACCACATTAGATCACATTTAACACATTAACATTGCCTATGATGAGCAAATAGATGCATGTGCAGTGTGTGCTATCATGTGACTGAAAAACTTTGATGCCAGAGCCAGCAAAGAAGGCGATTAATATTATTATGTTTTTTTGTGCATCATTAGCCAAATTTAAGCTAAATGGGCCTTTACGACCAACAAATGGCCACTTGTAAACTTTGCTATACAAGTGCTGGCGACCGGTGCATAGTATGGGTGTTGATTTACGTAGACTTAGCACACTTGTCCATAAGTTTCTGTTATGATCAATGCCATAATTTTCAAAGTTGAATCTAAAGATGAAATTACTATTCTTCATTAAAGGATTCAAATCTTCATTTTTTTAGGGCACATAATGCATTTTTAGAAGTAGCAACATAAGAGTATTATATAAAAGAAGCAGTGTTATTTTGTTATGTTCTTTAACTTTTAACATCGCATTATCTCTTCATGAGTTAAACTAGCCCAACGTTGAAGTTAAGAACATATCAATTTTAATTTCTTGTTTCTTTAAGGATTCACATTTTCATTAGAAATAGCTTCAAAACTTACGAATGGTAACAACTCATTGATCGATTTTCAAATTTTCATCTTCTTTTGTAAATTAATGTCAAATCATTTTGCCAATTTGTTAAAGGCATGCCCAAAATTTTCACTAGCACAGTAAGTTCATCACTAATAAATCGATTAGTTGTTTCCTACACTCGCCATAACCTCCACTTAGCGGCTATCGCCTAGATGACGTCGTGCATACCTCCACATGAACCTTGATAGCCGTATCGCCAAAGCTTTGTGGTCGCCTCTAAGTCCCCTTGATGTGACTTCAATAAAATTTCCATACGGTGTAAGAACTATCAAATGAATCAAGCTTGTTATACATAATGAATCAAATGACATTTAATAAAAATTCTAACATAAGTTGTGTTCATTAATAAACATCTCTTTATCATTTTTGCTCCACTGAATTTGTCCAACGTCGGGCACATATATAAGCACAATCAATGATTTCCACATAAATCGATATTTTTAGATGAACAAATGATTTTGAATCTAAAAACACCATTGAGCATAGGGGAAAAGCATTGATTTTGGAGCAATATAGACAACATAGCTCTAAACAAGCATACATCATTCATATCCATAATTTGACAAATATGCAGAGCAAAGCATAACAAATGCAAACAAAACACAGATTAGCCACCAAAAATATAACTTGCGATCTTTAACTCAAGTGCGATTAGACCTTAAATCAAAGAGCACCAAGCTTGATCACCAAATTGTTAGACCCGTAGACGGCGCGTGATAGCACGTTCCTATTATGCTAATCTAATCCGATTATAATTGCAATTAAGATTTAATTAAACAAGCTTACCTAGCAAGTATTAATATAACAAGATACGTAAGCTTAGGATTATAAGCAATATGACAACATGAATATATCCTATGCAATGAGATATTACAAATAATGCAGCAAGGACATATTGAAACTAACACAAGGTTAAAATAAACAATCTACACAAGGTGATGGGTAATATGATGAGCATACACAAAGGCCGTATATATAATATGAAACAAGAATCAAGAATCCCAATATAAATCACAAACAAAACGATATGTTTACGCAGTCGCGTCCCCCACGACCTACGCTCCGCCCTCCTCACCTCAGAGAGCATCTCACCTATTCACAACCGGGCTTTTTCTACGTCAGCCCGAACAACGTTTACAACCTCACAATACATCAGCTATGTAATCACACTCTCACACACTCAAGTGTTGCGTCACTAGCCCTGTGTCCTCTCCTCAAGTGCTGGTACAACCTCTCCTGGGCCACGTCAACCGACCCATCCTCTTGGATTCGACCCGCGTCTCTCACCATCACACTTCTCTCGGTGTACAATGTATTACAAGCTGAAATCCTTCACAATAAGCACTAATAAAATCAAGAATATTTGTTCTCTAAACAAGGTGAGAACTCAATTAAGCACAACTCTAAGTCACTACATCTCAACAACCCAAAATTATTACTATGAATGAAAATACAATAAGCTCAAAAAGGTTGTTGGTGAACAAAGACAGTATAATAAGAACAATTAAACGTCAATATTTTATAAATCTAGCCTTAGCGAAATTTAAGATCAAAACAATTAAATAGCTAGAATTGCGTTTAAGAAAACTTCTCTATAGATCAAGGAGTGAGAGAAGATGAGTTGAATGCCCAAACAACCAAGAATGATCTCCTCTTTGCTCTTGTGAATTTGCTTCACCATTAAACTAAACTCAAACAAACTCTTAAACGTCTCTTTAAACAAAACATATAAAACCTCCGATTAAAAACTTTCTTAAACTTGATCCTTTAAAACTCTCCTTGGCTAACTTTGAAAAGACATCAGCAATGGGGCTATATATACCCACTCAAAAGCCTCACGCCACAAAAACCCCCAAAACGAAAATGGACCAAAAACTCCCAGCAAAACAAGTCAGAGATAAGCAGCCGTCTAAAAGCCAACGGTATGATTGTCGTCGACCGAAAATTTTGTCGCGTCTGCACCGGCCCGAGCAGCCCAAAAGCACGAAGAAGAGTTTCTGACTTCGTCTTGGTCGACCGGAGTCGGCGGCTCGACCGATGGGCTTTTCGGTTCGACCGGGACGCCGCTCGACCGAACAGAGGGCTCTCTGTCGCCAGTGATGGAAATGATCAACTGATCGGATCGACCGCCGTCCGGTCGCGTCGACCCCGAAATCTGACACAGCTGGAAAAACGCTGATTTGCCTGAGTTTTAAAAGCCTGTTTAAAAATATCAAATAAATTCCAAAAAATGTAAAACTTTGGGGGAATGATTGAGACATGATAATAAACATGCTACAATGACTGTTCGTCGAAAAGAACTTCCCAAATGAAAAAATATCATCATTTACAAAATAGTTCAAAACATTGAAAACCTGAAATGATATTTGATATTTTGACTTAAACAACATTTTGAAACCTTTGAAATGCATTGTATAGACTTGATAAAAGCTATAACATGTTGATGAAGTCATAATCTAGAAATCAATATTTTCATAAATTGCACATTCTATGCCAATATATTCAAAACACTAAATATGATTTCATTAAATATAAGCTTGTAATAGGTGAATCATATATAGGCCATATAAACATGAAACAAAATAGTATTTTCCAATTCTATTCATATGTTTCATAGCTAAACTTGAAAAACTATCAAACCAAAACATATATGTATATATATAACTATATATATACAAATCCAAAACGTGTATGTGTGTATGATGATTGAGCTTAAAGTACTAACACACATAATATAAATCCTAAACTAAATTACCCAAGCAATGATCTTGATCTTCAATAAGCTTGACTTGGTACACTTTGCCGGATGAAGCTTGAACTTGATCTTTAACTTGAATTGTATGTTGCTTCACTCCACAATTCCGCCAACCTCCATTTGATAGCGTCGTATATGGCGCAAATCCATCCATCCTCCAAACTACGTTGTTTGTCTATAATAAATAAAGCAAAACACAATCAATAGACAAACAACATTAGTGGTAAATTGTTTGTTAAACATCATCAAAACAAGAAGGCCAACAACAAGCACACGCATAGCTTTAGCATGATATTTGTCGTGATATACAGAGCACGATAGCACTTGCTTTTCCGTTTGATGTGAAAGGACTTTGGAGTATTCTTGACATGTTCATTTAAAGTGTGAGAAACACAACTTCTTTCTATGATGTATGTTTTCAAATGGCGAATGATTATTTGTAAATCACTAACCTAAGCATTAGAGGGGCTTTGGCTGGAGCCCAACTCAAGTAATGCTCGCAAAGTACACAATAATGTCTCCACGTCATATTGATATTGAAGGAGCCGCTTTCAAAAACACATGAACAAGCTTCTAATATCTAATTATATAGTAAAAACAACACATCTAATAACACGTTTGATGTATTAAAAATATCCAAATATGATTTATTAGAATATGGACTTCAATAAACATGTGACATTAGGATTCTATTACTAACCATTAAGGGTGAGCAGTAATTAGAGCCAACCAAGTAAACCAATTCAACTTTGACGGTTCGATTCAATTTTAGAAACACAATTGATCTGACTGATTTTGATATATTTGAAATCGACATAACTGAACCGACCGATTTCAACGTAATTGTTTAAGAACTCACACATTTTGTTGATGAAAAGATAATCTATACTAATACTTTTATATATATTAATTGGTAAAAGTTCAATTTAGTTTGTAAAATAGTTAGTTCGATTAATTTTCTATCCAGCTTAGGATATCTATTCATTTATACAAATAGGAGGATCGGAGGATCAGAGATTCACGGTTCATGCTACAGTAAATGCTACAGTAGCATTTAATGTAGCAGTATTACTGTAGCTTATAATTAATTAAAAAAAGTACTGTAGCGCACGGGTACACTGTAGCATTTTAAAGGAACTGTAGCAAAGCGGGATACTGTAGCACTTTCAAAAATTCAAACCATGCCATGTTAAAAAAACGGGATTACTGTAGCAAAAAATACCGTGCTTTGCACGGACCGCAAACTAGTGAGATGAATGAAAGAGTAATGAGCGTCGTCTTTTAACTAAAAACCTCTAAGTTGACATGTTCATGTCTAAGCCGAACCACACCGAACCAAGCTGCACTGAACCGATTTGATTCGGTTCGATTCAATTTTGAACCTAGTTCACTTCGGTTTGGTTTTATCAAATAGGAAAAAAAAGTCAAAACCGACCAAACTATCACCTTGTAAAGTTCGTTTCGCCTGGATCAATTTCTATCACAACCCGGCCCGATCCGGCCCGGCCCAAGGGTCACGCCCGCTGCTGGCCAGACCTTATCTCGTACTGGGCTTCGTCCTTCTCTCCTCTGTAGCTTCGTGTTTAAACACCAACCCACCAACAATCTCCTCATCAACAACAATGGAATCCCTGCTCGCGAACTGCACAGTTCGGATTCCCGCCATTTCCATGAGACCTACAGCACAACAATGGAATCCCTGCTCGCGAACTGCACAGTTCGGATTCCCGCCATTTCCATGAGACCTACAGCTCCTCACACGAGCGGTCTCATGGCGCCAAAGTGGAATAAGAGAGCTGGGTTCTCGAGAATCGTTTGCACGGCGGTAAAATGTCCTCCTTCAGAGTTTGCATGCTAACTGTTTGATGAAATTCCTCATAGAATGGATGTGGTTGTTTCTGGGCTTTTGGGTTGTTGGGTGTGTTTGAATTTGAGCTAAATTGCTAGAATAAGCTTCATTTGTGAGGTGAATTGGAGTTAGAACACCTAATACACCTACCCGTTGATATTTTTCTCGCCTACAACAGTTGAGGGTTTGCCTTGAAAGCTGCACAGCTTGGTTCCCACCATTTTTAGGAGGCCGAGATGGAAGAAGAGAGCTGGACTTTCGAGAATGGTTTGATGAAGTTTCCACTTGCCGAGTTTGCATGTTAACTGTTTGATGAAATTCCTCACAGAATGGATAGTTTTATTTTGGGTTTTGAGTTGTGGGGTTTGTTTGAATTTTGGCTAATTTGCGAGAATAATGGAAGAGAAATCGAAGGGTGAAGTGCACAAAAGTATTAGAAATGGGTTCAATAGGGAGTAAAGGTAAATTGTAGATAGATAGACAGATAGAGAGAGAGAGAGAGAGAGGGAGAGGGAGAGGGGGAGGGGGAGGGAGAGGGAGAGGAATTTAAAGGGAACAAATGTTAAAGGGAGAAGGAAGCTAGAGAGAGATGATTATGTCTTGGGAGATTTTGGGAATAACTTTAAAATGGGTAAGTGAGTTAGCTTAGAGAGGGCTCGTATATGAAGAGGAAAAATCTGAAAGTGTATTTTGTACGTAAAATGGCTCACACAATGTGTGAGAGATACTTTCAGTGGAACTTAATAAACACAATGCCAAGGGGACTGGGTACTTGTTCTTGTGGTGTTTCAACTGTTTGTGCTATATCATTTGTTAAATAATTTGTCGGCACTTAGCACCAATCTTGTCACAATTACTAACTTCTTCTGTTTAGTATTTGCTTATTACTCTGTTCTAATTCTTATTCAATGACTTATTGTAGGAACCTTATTTGATGACAAAATTGGATTCTGCTGAGAAAACATGGAAAGAATTATCGGTATGTAGTGCCCACCTGATGTCGGTTACATCTTGAGCTTACTAATGTTTTAAATAACTCATCATTATCAGTTTGCAGACATGTTTATAGTTTGCCATGTTTCTGCTAATATTCAAAATGAATTTGTTGTCTGGTGGAGAAGAATTTATAAAAGTCAGATGGTCTTATTGTTCTATATAGACACTCCTTGTAAGTCCTGATTTGAATTGATTTCCATCCGACCCTCTTCCTTCTCATAGAGAGATATTAGCACAAGTTTGCCATGAGAAACGTTTCACCTGTATAAAAGTCAGGATGCAAATTTTATTAGAATAACATATTATGTTGGGGAATTTAGAGGTTAATTGTTAGTTGAGTGTTCTTAAACTATATAGCGAATGGGAAGATTTTCCTGACTGTGAACAGTCTTCGGGAGTATGTCCCTTGTTTATGCTTATAGAATAAAGCTTTTTAGAAAACACTTCCAGAACACTTTCTGGGAAAAGAACCTATATAGATTTGATTTGTTTTTATTTTTGAAGTTGAGAAGTTCTTGTAAAGAAAGAGATTTGTGTTTGGTTGGTGGATGATAGTTATTAATTTTTTTGGGAGGGGTTGAGAAGGGTTAAGAATCTTCCATTTCCTAATTCCACTGAAGCCACCATGTTTCCATTTATATTACAAAACAGTTGTGCATAAGTTGCATAAAGAATGATAAATGTTTCTGTTTGCTTAGGTCAAGTTGGCAGATCCTGATGTCGTCTCAAATCCTAGTGAGTACCAAAAACTTGCACAGTCTATGGCGGAGCTGGATGAGGTCTGTAACTGCTGATATCATTGTGGATTACTTATCAAAATGATATAGCTTAGTGATACAAACTAATTTCATGACGTCTTGTTCCACTTTTTTTTTTCCTCCTGGTGGTGTGTATCATGGAATTACGCTTTGAAAATTGCAGGTGGTAGGCTACTACAGAAAATATAAGGATTGTGAGAGACAAATGAAAGAAACAAAAGGTAAATGCCTGTTCTATGCGAATGATTGCCTCTGTAAGATTTGAAAATTTGGTTAATAGTGAATTTATTTATATTGTAGCTTTAACCAAAGAGGATGGGAATGACCCAGATATGGTGGAGATGATAGCTAGTGAAATTGAATCTTTGTCAAGCCAGCTTAAAGACCTTGAGGAGAAGATGAAGGTTTGAACCTTTTGTGAACTATAATGAATATTTTCTATTGACTGTTTGTATACAACCTTCTCTTTGAATAATCAATTAATGTAGTTTAAATTGATCATTCTCTTTTTATTACACTGATTGGAGTGCCTAACAAAATTAATCATTTTCTGAAGTCTTGCTTTCTGTTGAATCCTATTATCTGTTTGAAGATGCTTGTAGTTGTTAATTTATATTCTGTGGATAGTGCACCACTCTAACTGAAGACATTTTAAGTCAACATGTGTCTCAAAATAAAGAGGCAGAATAAGTCAAAGCTTGTCTTCCTTAATAGTGGTTTCCACCCTTTGAATGTTACTTTCCCATTTATCTCAATGTTGCCTGATTCACGGTATGTTGTAGGTCATTGTATGGATATTGTACATGATACCCTACTTTGGGTCGTCATGGTATGGTGAGACACTGAGATAGGATGAATTGATTTGCAACTTGGGATGCAGTAAGACTGGGTCATTTTGATAATTATGCATCCATTTCATTATACTATATATGTATTGCTTTCATCCATATTTGTAAAATGTATTTACATATTTTAACAACATTTTTCATGGTTGAATTATGATTGAATCATACAAAGACGGTGGTTATTAGTTTATGGATGCAAAATTAAAAACATTAATAAGATACTGGAAGTATAAATATGTGTGCCATTTCTAAAGAAGCTGTCAAGATTGAGAGATCTGAGGATTAATAAATCAGAGGGAAAATAATAAAAAAGAGCTCCTGGTTAAATGCTTCCCCTAATATTCATTAGCATTCATGTAAGTAGCAGTATAAAAAGAAATAATGAGCATAAGAATAAAATCCACAAATAAGAAACTACAGAAAGAAGCAGCTCATGTGTTCAGTTAAATCTGAATGGATCACTAGATATGGATAAACTAACATTCACCTAATCCGCCTAACCCACATGGATTCATGATCCAGATGGTGTGGCCCATTCATGGTGCATTGTCAATTCAGATTAGTAAAAGTGGCGACCCAAAACACAATCTCAAACAAGCGACATGATCACAGAGTTCGGTCCCCATGACCTACGTTTCTGTTCCTCACCTCAAGGAGATCTCCACTATCACAACCGGGTTTTCTATTCTCACCTGAATAACGTTTACACCTCACTCTCGGTTTTCTAGCTCACCGAAAACTTTACAATTACTCACAATGTAAACATACTAACTACCACCTCAAGTGTTGGTCTCTAGCCCATGTCTCCCTCAAGTGTTAGGAATTACAACTTCTCTCTAGGTATTACCACCTACCCCACTCCTCTTGGGACAACCCCATCTCTCACCACACACTCCTCTTAGTGTACTAGTGTAATACAAAGTGAACCTCACAATTAACGCTCGAAGGTAGATTTTATTTGTTATGAGATATATTTTGAGTTCAGTATATTAGCATGCAGAAGAAATTTAGATACTCAATAGCTGTATTCATTAGTCCCGAAATCAATATTGAACTGTCTGCTGGGATTGCATTTCAGGTGCTATTGCTTCCAAGTGATCCTCTAGATTCACGCAATATTCTTCTGGAAGGTACTTGCTGTTCACAAAACTTTCACTGACCAAATAAAATCATTCTTTTCAGTACTAGGTACCTTGGGGTATGACCCATTGGATCACACTTTTAAATTATTTGTTATCACTACTAAATTGATTTTATCTGCACTATTACAAAATAACGAGATTGTGCTTGTATGTTGGGTGGTAACCTTCAAGCTATCAATTTTCTGTTCTACGTTGTTTGAATACTGGCGTAGCTGTTTGGTTATTGGGTTCCCTGAACTTAATAAATGTTAAAGTTGTGGGCGTTGTTATTAAATTGCCTGAACTCCTTAGACTTGATAATACATGCACACATGCATGTCTGCATGTATGTGTCTGTTTGCTGATATGCATGTATGTGTCTGTCTTCGAGATGCATGTGTATGCACACTGCTCACTGTACTCATCTGTGTGGACAAACTTCTGCACTCATAAATACCCACCATCCACAACTTCACACATGCACGCCTGCCTTCCCCCGACGCTCCACCCCTATTATTCCTTTGTCTATTCACTTTTGCATAATCCGTTCTATTAGAACAGGTCTGATGTCCATTTATGATGATCTATTGAACTTTCTTCATTGGTCTTGCAGTGAGGGCAGGTACTGGTGGCGATGAAGCTGGAATATGGGCTGGTGATCTTGTAGGTAGAACATGATCAGACTTATTCTTCTTAATGTATTAATGAATTAACTTAAACCTATCCTGATACATTTCACTATATCCAACATGTTTATAATTTATTCTTCAAACTAGGACTCTTAACCTAACTGTTCATCTTTAGTTGCCTCCAAGAAAAGTAATCTGTTCAGTCTGCAGCCAATTGAATAATTACAAATAACGTCTATCATAACACATGCTATCTGGATGATCAGCAAAATGGAAAGAAGAAGAAAGTAATTACTTGGAGATCCTAACTGTCCTGACTTTTCACCTTTTGTTGAAGAAAATGTACGGTTACTGTCAATAGGTATATGATAGTCCATACCTCCAACTTGACTTTTGTGATGATTAAAGGAGGAAAAAGAATTAAGAAATTTCTATTGGTCTAACACTATTAGGCTTGTTTCTTTTGGTGCTTCAAAAAGAAACAAAAATCTAATTTATAAGCCCTGATGTAGTGATGTTACTACAAACTGCTATTGGAAACTTGATAATGATATTTGTGCAAGCCTAGTGAAGCTAGCATATTTTTCATAATGGCTAGCTTTCTTACATCTTTGCTTCCAACATGGAATTTTGTATTATTTGTTCAGGTTCGTATGTATCAGAAGTATTGTGAGCGCAGTTCATGGAGGTTCACCACAATTTCATGTTCAGAGGTAATTTCTATTTATTTGGCAGACTGTAGCCTTTTCCCTAAGCTAGAGTTATGATTACTTACTGATGGCTACATTCAGGCTGAGAAAGGTGGATACAAGACATATGTGTATAGCAAACTCAAATACGAGTCTGGTGTCCATCGTGTTCAACGAGTACCCCAAACAGAAGCACAGGGCCGCGTGCACACATCAACTGCAACTGTAGCAATTATGCCAGAGGTATATTTGTTTAATACTACAAGGACTTGCCACTTTTATCTAATCAAAGATAGCTAAAGCATTGTATGTTCTTGATATATGGAGGTTCTATACTGATTCTTGTCCTCCAATTACTTCCAGTTAGTTCAAGATCAATTATCATCATGTTTGGATGGAAGGTAGGAGAGGGTATGGGAAGAGAATTTGGGAGTTCACTTTGTTTGGGAGTTGAGAGGGGTAATGTAAGCGAAGGAAGGGGAAATTCACATTAAAACATAGTCATTTTTTCCCCTTCCAAATTCTGTTTTGATAAGCATCACTGCAGCACATTTGTCTCATTATAACCTTAAGCAAACATGATTACCGATCTACACATACTTTGTTATGCTAACTGTATATATGATTTTTCTTTTCTGGACCAATAAGAATACTTTGATTATATTTCGTTATATCAGTGTAAACTAGTTTGTGCTAGTATTGGGATGCTATATGAACAAAACAGTTGATACATTATGATGCCGAGCCACTTGAAAAGTGATTTCTATTTCATGTGGAGAGGATGCAGTTATGAGAAACGCACATAATACTACAGAGTTTACTTTGTATGGTGCAGTATTTTACACTAATTATTAAAGTTCAGGAGGGAAGTCTTGGCATTGAAGGATGCAGACCACAGAATTATGCACAACTGCAAGAGGCTTAACCAGTGTGATACAGTGCCACTCTTGATTGTTAAGATGTATGGGATATATCCTGCTAATCTTGGAAGCTGCAGTTACCTTTCTATGAATTTGAAAATCCTATAAAAGATTTGTAGTGTTTGCCAAAAAAGGTGCATTTCACTGTCTTTCTTGAGCACTGAAACGGTAAATTATAATTTAACATGATATTATAATTTAACATGATAGCACGAAGAACATTCTTCTGCTTTTGTGTGTGAAAAGGAAACCCCTATATCAGTGGTAGAAAGTACCACAAAGGCCTTGAACTAAAACTCACTTGAAAGGTTGCTCTATTCAAATTCACACTCTATAGTAACTGCTTCAAATTACTAACTACTTTAGACATGTTTATAGGTAGAATACTCTGACAAATTTTCTGGCATGACCTGTTTATTTTGTACTTTGGGTTTTTTCCCCCTTATCTCTTTGTATGTTCAAAAGCATTGGAGTTGTATATAGTGAATTTCTGAACTAGAAGTTACCACTCTTCAGGCTGATGAAGTGGAAGTAGTAATTGATCCAAAAGACATTGAGCTTACAACTGCAAGATCTGGGGGTGCTGGCGGTATGATTCTATGAAACCATATCATCCTTTTATACCGAATGGAGATTTGTCTGCTTTTCCTTTCTAATATAATCACATGAATATGGAGTACACATTTCATCTGTAGCAAATTTTTTATTGAAATTTCACTGGAGATGAGTTTTTATACTCATTAAATATTTGAATGCAGGTCAGAATGTCAACAAGGTGGAGACAGCGATTGACCTTTTTCACAAACCAACTGGTATTCGTATCTTCTGTACTGAAGAAAGAACTCAGATTCAGAACAAAAGCCGTGCACTTCAATTACTACGAGCAAAACTGTGAGTTCACTGGAAAGCTCTTTAGATCTTGATTTAGTTAGTTTTATTTCTAGTATATTTTATTAGTGTAACGTCATCTGATTAAGACTCATTCGAGGTCATTTCAAAATATATTGTACTATCACCAAATTGTGCTTACTACCCCTGTAGTTCTATTGTTGCAGATATACCCACCTGAGTAAAAAATCTTTGTTGCGAATAGACCCCTGAGTGAAAATCTTTGTTGCAAATACACAGCTTGCGTGGAAATCTATTGTTGCAGATAGACCCCTCTGAAAAGGATCTAAAAGAAAAGAAAAGAAAAAACACTCAGGAGATCTATCTGCAACAATAGAACTACAGGTTTAGTAAGTTCAATTTGGCAATAGTACACGTGGTCTATAAGCAATTAACCCTTTACAGAAAACAACATTTTCCTTATATGTTAATCATTTTTACATATCAGTGCTTTTGCTGTTGGAGTTATATAATAAAGATAACTTAAAACTTGGGTTTGTAGAGGAAAGGAGGAAAACTTTAGTCCCATATTGGAAAAGAGATGGGAAGATAGGCTCTTTATAAGCCTTCCCTTTCTCTCCTATGCCTAGAAGAAAACAAAGGTTATGCTCCACACCACACGCGCGCGCGCCGGCCGGGCCGGGCTCGGGCTCGGGTTCGGGTCGGGTCGGGTGGCGCGCGCACACGAATGCAGCTCCGGATTAATGGGCCCTTAATCTGCTACATTTTTATTTTTAAATAATTAAAATATAATTTTTATTTTTGAACAATTAACATGTGATAAATATTTTGTAACAGAAATATTTCGTAACGGTAAAAATTTATTAGTGTGATTAAAAACGTGAAAAATATTTTGTGAATTTATTATGTAACGGAAGCGTTTTTTAATTTTATAACGGCTAAGCTTTATTAACGTGATTAAAACGTATTAACTACGAGTTTATGTAACGGCTGTTTAACCCTATAAAAGGACCAAAACCCGAATAGTTTTACACAGTGAAAAATCAACAGATCTCTTCTCTCCTTCTCTGACCTGCATGGGCCACCAAAAAAACCTGTCACGCCCCACTTCCCAAAATACAGGGGAATCGGAACGTGAACAAGCCCGCGATGTATTAGATTGAGAAGAAACATACACTATTATTATTTTTTCTTCTCAATCCAATATGCTAAGCGTCTAGAAATAAATACAATACGAAGTCACAGGTCCCCGATCACAATGGCAAGAATATAAAGACAACTCATAATAAGGAATAGACATATCATCAATAGTAAATCATCCTAGACATAAAATATGGGTCAACATACCCTTATTACAAAATAGTCCAACTAGAAAATAAGAAATACATAGTGCATAAAGAAAGTACTATTAAAATACTAAATCCATCATCAAGTAAAGAAAAGTACGGTAAAAGGGTTTTAATGTCCAACTACTACTACGGAAGAAAATCACTACGCTTCAGCTCGTTCTTCTACTCCTTCTGCAAGACACCCCTGCTAAGAATCTTCTGGCTCATGTACGATTCCGAACTGAGGCTGTCCATCTCCTAAATCTGACGTACACCCAGAAAATAGGAGTACGTCAGCGTGTATACAGAAAACTATTTTGAAAAGAAGGTTTTGCGAATTCTTCTAGACTTTCAGGGTAAAATGGTAGATTCTAAACCAATGAATGAGCAAATTCATGAATTCGAACATATAGTTCACCAATTAAAAGTGAATGGATCTATCCTAGATGAAACATTTCAGATAGCCTGTCTTATAGACAAACTTCCCGAATCCTGGTCAGATTTTGCCAAAAACCTTAATCATACCCAAGGAGATCTTACACTAGAACAAGTGTTGAATTCCATTAGAATTGAAGAGCAACATAGACTCAGGGAGAAAAATGTGACAAAATCCGATCCTAAAGAACCCAAAATAAACAATGTTGAATCCAAACCCTTTCCCCAACACAAGAAACGTCCCTTCCACCAAAATCAAAATAAAACATTTAAGAAGAAATCCTTTCATTAAAATAAGAACCCTGTCCACTTTCAAAAGAAGGAAGGAGCTGAACGTCGAGCCTGCTTCGTTTGTGGAAGAACCAACCATCTTGCTAAGGACTGCTTTTTCAAGAAAACTGAACCACCCAAACCTAGGAAGGGAGGACCTCCACCTAATAAGTCACAAGTAAACATGGTGACTTCCAGTCCAGCTAAGGCTGCTTTCAGGTCTGTTCTCTTCACTCCTGAAGTAAACATGACCTTTCAAGCAAATGATTGGTGGATTGACACTGGAGCTAATATTCACGTTTGCTCTAATCAATCTTTGTTTTCCACCTATCAGGTCTCAAGTAGAGGAACTGTGACAATGGGAAATAATAATGTGGCTCCTGTATCCGGAATAGGTCGGATCAACCTAAAGCTGACTTCTGATAAGACTTTGATCCTGCAGGATGTCCATCATGTACCAGACATTAGGAGAAACTTAATTAGTGGATCTTTGTTAGTGCAACAAGGCTATAAGCTTGTTTTTGAATCAAATAAAGTTGTAATAACTAAGGGTTTGAACTTCATTGGAAAAGGTTTCTTATGTGATGGTCTTTTTAAATTGAATGTTAAGAATTCTACTCTTGCATCTCCAATAGCTTTGAATATTGAACCTTCCATCACTTGGCATCAAAGATTAGGACATGTGAATTATAATTCAATTAAAAGATTGATGCATCTCAATATAATTCCAAAGCTTAATATAAAAGATGATGAAAAATGTGAAATATGTGTAGAAGCCAAACTTCCTAAGAAACCATTTAAAACTATTGATAGAGATTCTGAGATATTAGAACTCATCCATAGTGATGTTTGTGATTCAGGAAGAACAACTAGAGGGGGTAACAAATATTTTGTAACTTTTATAGACGATTGCTCTAAATATTGTTACCTCTACTTAATTAAGACTAAAGATGAAGTCATAAACAAATTCAAAATATACAAAGCAGAAGTTGAGAATCAGTTGGATAGGAAAATTAAAATACTAAGATCAGATAGAGGTGGTGAGTACACTTCTAATGAATTAAAACAATTCTGTGAAGAGAATGGAATTATTCATGAAATAACAGCTCCATATACACCTCAATCTAATGGAGTAGCTGAGAGAAAGAATAGAACACTAATGGACATGGTAAACTCAATGTTAATTAATTCTGGTGTGCCAGAAAATTTATGGGGAGAAGCTCTCATGACTGCATGTCATATACTAAATAGAATTCCATTCAAGAAATCTGATAAAACCCCTTACACAATTTGGAAGAATAGAAACCCTAATTTAGATCACCTAAAAGTGTGGGGGTGCTTAGCAAAAGTCAAAATACCTGAGAATAAAAGAAAGAAGATTGGCCCTAAAACTGTAGATGGAATTTTTATTGGCTATGCTTCTGATAGTAATGCAAATAGATTTTTAATAATCAACTCTGACATTAATGAGATAGCCAACAACACCATAATTGAAGCTAGGGATGCACATTACTTTGAAAATATTTTTCCTTACAAGACCAGAATAAACAACACAGGCCCTAGCTCTAATAATTCAGATCCTAGTTCTAATCAAGGTGAAACTAGTTCTAAACAAATTAGACCACTAGAAAGTCCAGAGGAGCCTAGGAGAAGTAAAAGAACTAGAATAGAAAAGGTCCATGAAGATTTCTATGCATTACTTGTAGAAGATTCTCCAGTTACATTTGAAGATGCAATGAAATCAGTAGATGCTCCATTTTGGAAGGAAGCTATAAATAATGAGATACAATCTATAGTTCAAAATCATACTTGGGAACTAACTGATCTTCCTTCAGGATGTAAAACCATAGGATGTAAATGGGTGTTTAAGAAGAAACTTAGACCTGATGGAACAATAGATAAATATAAAGCCAGATTAGTAGCTAAAGGATATACCCAAAAGTCTGGTATTGATTATTTTGATGTCTATTCTCCAGTAGCTAGGATTACTACCATTAGAGTCCTCATAGCTCTAGCATCCATTCACAAATTAATAATACATCAAATGGATGTTAAAACTGCATTTTTAAATGGAGACTTAGATGAAGAAATTTATATGGATCAACCTGAGGGATTTATAGCTTCTGGACAAGAAAAGAAAGTATGCAAGCTTATTAGATCACTATATGGTCTCAAACAAGCCCCAAAACAATGGCATATGAAATTTGATGAAATTATACTATCTTATGGATTTGTAATTAATCAAACAGATGAGTGTGTATATCATAAAATAGATAAAAACAACAAAATTGTGATATTATGCCTATATGTTGATGACATTCTTATTTTTGGTTCTGACATACAAATCATAAATGATATCAAACACTTTTTATCACAAAATTTTGACATGAAAGATTTAGGTCAAGCTGACCTAATTCTTAATACTAAAATCATGAAAAATGAGAATGGATATGTGCTATCACAATCACACTACATAGAGAAAATCCTTAAGAATTTTTATGATCCAAACTGTCAACCTGTTTCCACTCCATATGATCCTAATGTACATCTAAAGAAAAATACAGGTCATCCTCAATTACAAAGAGAATATGCACAAATAATTGGATCACTAGGATTCCTAACAAACTACACCAGACCTGACATTGCTTATGCAGTAAATAGACTTAGTAGATATACATCAAATCCTGATAAGAGTCACTGGGATGCTCTAGAAAGAGTTTTGAGATACCTAAAAGGAACTATGAATTATGGTTTACACTATAAAGGTTATCCATCTGTACTAGAAGGTTATTCAGATGCAAATTGGATTAGTGACTCAGTAGATGTAAAATCCACCACAGGATTTGTGTTCCTTTTAGGAGGAGGAGCTGTGTCCTGGAAATCTACTAAACAAACTGTAATGGCTAGAAGTACAATGGAATCAGAAATGATAGCTCTTGATACTACTAGTATAGAAGCTGAATGGTTGAAAGATTTACTAACTGAAATTCCACTAATGCAAAAACCATTACCAGCCATTTCTATTCATTGTGATTGCAGGTCAGCGATTGACAAATGCCATCAAGAGAATGCAAATGTGAAGATGAATCGACACTTGAAAGTGCGACATAAATCCTTGAGATATAAGATGAAAAACCATATAATAGCCTTAGATTTTGTAAGATCAGAGAAAAATCTTGCAGATCACTTAACTAAAGGCTTATCTAGGGCAGTGGTCCTAGAATCATCGAGGGGGATGGGGTTAAGCCCATAAGAAAAATCACTGCAGTGGCAACCCAACCTCGCAGAGGTTCAATGGGTAGAAACAAACTGAATGAGTGATTAATTGTGAGGAGCACTGAATTTATTTGCTCCCATCCCTAGGATGATCAGTGCTCATAAAAAGCAAGTGAAAGGTTGAGTCTAACTCTTAATGAATCCAAGACCCATGAGGCAGGATGCTTACTTGCTCGCATCCTTATTAGGATTCACCTATATGTGTGTAGTTGTGAGGCCGCGACTATGGGATCAGGGCTGCTCCCTAGTAACACACATGAAAGATACCTGCGCAAGGCCGATAATAGCGCAACCCGTTTAGAATTCTTCAAAACTGTACTATGTGTGCTTTCTGTAGAAATCCGATAAATGAGACTGGTTCAAGGCGAAGTCCACCAAGCTCTCACGGATCTATACAACTGTCACTAAGTGAAGGTTCAAACCGAAAGGTACCTCCACCTATTACATAGTATAAGGGAACCAGCAATCGTATTTATTTCTTTTATTGTTATTTCTGAACTATTTTAAGTTTTAAGTTATGTGGGGGATTGTTGGAATTATATAATAAAAGATAACTTAAAACTTGACTTTGTAGAGGAAAAGAGGGAAAGTTTAGTCCCACATAGGAAATGGGATAGAAAAAAGGGGTCCTTATAAGCCTTCCCTTTCTCTCCTATGCCTAGAAGAAAACAAAGGTTATGCTCCACACCACACACGCGCGCGCCGGCCGGGCCGGGCTCGGGCTCGGGTTCGGGTCGGGTCGGGTGGCGCGCGCACACGACCTGCGGACACGAATGCAGCTCCGGATTAATGGGCCCTTAATCTGCTACATTTTTATTTTTAAATAATTAAAATATAATTTTTATTTTTGAACAATTAACATGTGATAAATATTTTGTAACCGAAATATTTTGTAACGGAAAATATTTATTGAATTTATTATGTAACGGAAATTTTTTAATTTTATAACGACTAAGTTTTATTAACGTGATTAAAACGTATTAACTACGAGTTTATGTAACGGCTGTTTAACCCTATAAAAGGACCAAAACCCGAATAGTTTTATACAGTGAAAAATCAACAGATCTCTTCTCTCATTCTCTTTCCAAAATAGTTTTCTGTTTACGCTGGTTCTCTGAAAGTCTAGAAGAATTCGCAAAACCTTCTTGAAGCTCGTGCCGACGAGAAGGAGGTCGCCTGACCGAGGGGCGAGGGTCGTTGTATCTCCGGGGACTTTTGCCGCGTAGCCCTGTACGAGAGGGGGCAATTAGTTTCTTGGGACAGTGCTTGCACGCCTCGATCATCAGGCCGTATTTCTAACTCTGTTTCTTTTTTATTTGATATATTTCTTATATCTGTGTTATAATAGTGATTATCTGTTAATTATTAAATTGCTTAAACTGATTTTCGTTATTGTCTAAACAGCTAATATTTCCAACATTTGCAACATGGGTTTGTTTGCTTGTATCCAATGTAACCCGGGTTCTTCTATCGTGAAGCTGTACCCGTACTGGATACGTACCCAACACGAATCTATACCCAAACTTTATGGACACTCCTTGGATATAAGCATGCATTGTTTTCAGACATGTACTTAATTATGTGATATATGTTTTAACTTAAAACACTTGCCATACACTTCTTGAACTCATATCCTACAATTCACATCCATTTCCTAAAAATTGATTAGACAGAGGTTTAGTTCGTTTCAACCCATATTCAAATTCAAAACGATGATTTTAAAGGGTTTTTTTGGTATCTAGTTAAAAAACGAGCAATTTTCAATATATAATAATCAACATAATAAAAGAAACTTAAAAATGTGCTAGGAATTTTAATTCTAATAACACATGAATTGAAAAAAAAAATAATAATCTCATATAAATTATTAATTTCATATATGTGTGTGTAGCCGTATCCCTGTACGCTACATTTTACAAATTTGCCATGTCCAGTACCCATACCCCCACCCATTCCGGTACCCATACATGTTTCCATGCAACTTAGCTTGTATCTGTTTGCGTTCTGTATGCTTTCACATTTAACTAATATTTAGTTTTTTTGTTCATTATCACTGTGAATAATTGTTTATTTCTTTTATTTTTCTTTTTCAGTTATGAGATGAAATTAAGGGAGCAACAGGAATCAATAAGGAACCAAAGAAAATCACAGGTCAGCACTGCAACTTTCATGTAGAGAATGCATTTCCTGAAAGGACATCATGTCTAGTGCAATTTATTCTTTTATCATGAGCAGGAACAACTACTTCAACTGTATGCAATCATAAGCGTAGAAAATATAAGACATAATGCTTTCTACCTCAGTGATTTAATTGGTGGAAGATATTTATGATTTCCTGTCCATGAACCATGTGTACCTAGGCAAATTCTGTGGCAAATCTACTCCTCCATACTTTAAAGGAGAACCCAAAAAGTTGGTGTTCATTCTAAGTAAATGCTAGAGTAAGCACTGTAGTATGAACAGTGACCAACTCTGGTCCTCTGCACTCGAAGCTAATGTTTACGCCACAGTGATTTATTGTAGTATAAACAGTAAACCAAATCAGCTCTTCCATACCTGAAGTTACTATTCATGCTACGGTTTTACTGTATCATAAACAGTAAAGCAAATCGGATGTATTAAAACTTGGATCTTTTTTAAGTATAGAGGAGTAGATATGATTTCTAAATCAGATGTATTAAAATTTAGATCCTTCTTTTAAGTATAGAGGAGTAGATATGATTTCTAATTTTAAGCGTACAATAATTAAATCAAATGTATTAAAACTTAGAGGGAGACAAGTTCAAAATGCAATACTTAAAAAATAGGGGGCCGTGCTTTGCACCGGGTGCACACTAGTTATTTTCTAATGGAAACCATTTGAAGTGTGCAGCTTAGACATGTTTCTATGACAAACTAGTAAATACTTCAGAATTTAGTAAAATGCCTACATACAAAGTTTCATGCAGTAGAATATGATGGTGAAACTTTTTTGTATCTCAGGTTGGTACTGGTGCTCGTGCAGAAAAGATAAGGACATACAATTACAAGGTAAGCAACTAATCTGTTTCAGGTTTTGGTGTGCATGCGTTAGCAGTTAACATGTCTGAGACTTCTTGGTATTATGCAAAAAATTGCTGTTGATATTTTCCTGAGAGGATAAAGAAATCCTTGAGCAGAAAAAAATCTTATTAATCTTATGATGGCAGGACTCCTAAAATTATGATGTACTTTTGATTTTGCAGGATAACAGAGTAACTGATCATAGATTGAAGATGAACTTTGAGCTTACTTCCTTTCTCTCAGGTGATATTGAGACAGCAGTGCAGGTATGTCCTTATGAGAAGTTTCGTCTTTTTCTACTTTTTTTTTTGTTTTTGTTTTTTGTTTTGTTTTTTTAGCTTTCTCAAAATAAGATGTGCAGGTTTGTCTTATCTGTGCTCTATCCATTGTTTGCTTATATAAACATTTAATTGTTTCCTTAGAGAGAGCAAATAAATTTTTAGAAAATAATACCCGCCACGCTGAAGCTTTCTATAGTGATATCAGCTAAACAGGCTATAAGAAAATGTTAACTTCATCCACACTTTTCCCCCCTTTTGGAGGGAGGGAGAGGGGTAAAAACTTTTGAAGTTAGAAATTTGACTTTCCTAGCTCCTTTGCTGGACAACAGTATATCCATGGTATTAAAGGTAAAACATCCTCTGTTAATTAAGACCATCCTTCACCTCTTCTTCCCTGTAGACCCCATTCCATCTCCAGCGCAGTAAGAAGTACGTTTCATCTTATTTGCATCGAGAACCAGTGTTGCTAATTTTCTTCGCTTGTACATATCAAACACTCAAAATTAGCTGCTCTCAAGAGATGTAGTATGTAATTCCCATTTTACTGTTTAGATATCTTTTTGGGTGATAAACAATACAAATTAACATTTCGCTAAAAAGCCGTTTTCAATTGTCAATCATGTGATCATTCTTTTTTCATCATCAATCAGTTTAACATTTCGCTAAAAAGCCGTTTTCAATTGTCAATCATGTGATCATTCTTTTTTCATCATCAATCAGTCAGATACGAGGTGATTTTCTTTCTTGTCATTGTCAATCATGTGATCATTCTTTTTTCATCATCAATCAGTCAGATACGAGGTGATTTTCTTTCTTGTCTGAGAAGATAAATCTTGCTTGATGCTCAGAAACAACCGAGTAACTGAATGATTTTTTTTCTTTACTGCAGTCTTGCGTTTCCATGGAGCAGAGAGAACTCTTGGAGGAGTTAGCTGAGTCTGTGTCTGCTACCAACACCTGATCCATTATTTCATTTTCGATGATCCATGCTTATATCATACTTCAGGATCCTAACCCCCAAGAACCAAAAAAGATCGAGATTCTCGCCATGCAAGATCAGAAATCAAGAGCTGGTAGGAATGATTCGACGATACAGCGCAAATTCTTACTGCTAAGCGATCGTTTGATGGTCGTTTCTCTCGTCAATGTAAAAATGATGAACGAAATAATGTACCATCTGTAACGCTTGTGAACGGGCGGGGCCCTTTATGAATTGGTTACTCAATACTACATATTGAGGGGGGATACAAATTGGTACCTAAAAATTCCCAATGGTTCTTTCATATATAAATGTACAATTTAATATATAATCTTTTTTCAAGTCCGACTTAAAACTTACCTACAGAATTGGGAGTTGTCTTAAATTATTGATCGATTGTTACTGGATTGTGTGATTGATAATTATTTGGTATCAAGCAGATCTTTACCCATTGAACGATTATATACTAAACGATTATATAAAAATATTAGGGATCCAGGGGAAAAATTAGACGGATAAATTACTATTTATCTCACTTCCATATTTATTTGTCAATCTTTCTCAAACTTCCAAGCAATTAAGTAAGAAGAGTAGTTGTTTATGCGTATTATGTTTTTTTCCCTTGTGGTTCTAAATTATTTCCTGTTGTTATGTAGTCAAGATTGGCAGGCCTGGATACAGAGTGACAAAGCAGTTTAATAGTCCATGAACAGTGCATTACGAGATAGGAAGCTGATACCTCACCTGTCCCACTCAGGGTCCCCTACTTTGGGGTCCCTGTAGGAGCACTCTTTTATTATTTAGTCTGTTCAATTAAATGATCAGACTATCAAAAGAACCTACGATGTTATTCTCATACCCAAGTAAAAAAAAAAATCATTTTCTAGGTTTTCTTAAAAAAAATCATTCTCTCTTGCATGTTTCAGGTCCCTAGCACTGAGATTGACAAATCCACACCAAAGTTCTTCTCTCATTGGGATCCTGACCTCAAAATGTTCACGGTTTGTTCACCTTCAATCAAAACCTTTTTCTTGTAGACTTAACTTTTACGGGGTAAATTGCAGATAAGCCCTCTCATCTATATACCTTCAGTAGCGCCTATCACTCCTCAGCTATTTTATTAGCACTTATCACCCTATATTGGTATCTCTTCGTCGCGAATTGGGAGGTGATAAGTGCTACCAAATTTATAGATAAGGGGGTTATTTACAATTTATTTTATTTTGAGGGCAACTCTTTAACATGCAACGTATTATTAAACAGCTCCAACTCTATTTCAAAACGAAGCCACCGGAATCAGTCAAACCTCAGGGCACCGGTGCACCTCCACCACCTCCAACTCTACATATTTTTATAATTTGAGTTCGAACATCTTGTCTAATTTTTTTATTCGAATTCAAATATAGATATTTATTATACATTCAGGAATATTTATCAAATATTAAAATATATTTATTTGACTAATAATTATAATTTATAAATAGTAAACTATTTAGTTAAAATTTTAATTGGTCAAAGAAATAAGGGAAAAATGTGTCCAGGCCCCAAAAGTGGGAACTTCGTGTGACTAGCCCCCCTGTATTTTGCCCCATGTGGAATAGCCCCAAATACGCATAGTATTTGCGACGAGGCCCCGAATTGACTCTTTTCAGAAAAAGCCCAGCGGAAGTTACTATCTTGCCCTCTGATGGGACTGAGCTGGGTTAATGTGCCCCTCACCTTTACAAGTACTCTCTCTCTCTTTCTCTCTCTTCCACCTAGCACCGTCATCAAGAACTCTTCATCTTCCTAATTTCTGTACGAATTTCAACGTTTCTAGGGTTTTCGCCGGAAAAATGTCGTCGTCTACGGAAAAATCCAGTAACGACTACGAGGTCGGGCACCGAGCCGAGTTGGAAGGAAAAGGCGCTTCATCTGCGGGTGGCAGCACGGAGGAAGCTACGGAAGCTACGAAAACCCTAATCGAAATGCAAAAGGAGGCATTACAATGGCGAGACCAGAAAAGGAGGACGACAATGGCTGGTCGTACCAACGAACCCCCCTCAAAAAAACAGTAAGTGTTATGTTATACTGCGAACAGACAATGCAGATTAACCCAATATTGTTAGTTCTAGGCTTATGTTATACTGCGAAGAGACAATGCAGATTAACCCAATATTGTTAGTTCTAGGCTTTGTCCAATGTTAGTTCTAAATTTATACCAACGTTAGATCTAGTTTAAGTCCAATGTTAGTTCTAATATGAGTCCAATGTTAGTTCTATAATATTACGTGTTAGCTCTATTTTGTTCCCGTTAGTGCTAGGTCTAATATTGTTTCATATGTCTTATTGAACTTACAAATTCGAAAATTTTTTGCAGGGAAAAAATTGCTCTAACAGGCTCAGCAGAAACACTAAGGTTAACGGCCAATATCGGGGCTTATTGGGCATTTATGAAGCGCCTTGCCCCGAAGATCCGTCAGTGGCATAGGGATGCATACTGCGGTTCTATATTTCAGCACTACATTTTGTTTGGGGCTCCTGCGGCTGATCGGCCCACCCTTGAGCTGCTGCTGAGCTTTTTCGATAGAGATAATAACACCTTTTGTATACCTGATTCAAAAAGTGGGGGTATGAAAAATGTTAGTTTTGATTTGCAATGGGTCCACAACCATACTTATTTCCCAATTTATGGGGAGGACATAAGGAACAATAGGGACTCAAGAAGCAGAATATGGCTGGAATACTTCGCTAAGCTTTTCATTTCTGAAGAGGGTAAGAAGTTAAAAAAATCAGAAACCAGCCAACGTAAACATCTTGAAGAGCTACTTGAACGGCTTGTTGAATCTACCAAAAAGTGGGATATCGAGGATTTTGCTCTGCTACAAATTTTGTACCAATGCTCTATGATATGGAGTCCCATAGCAG